CTTGTCTTCAATTTGTATTCAAAGGGTACATTGCTGCATAGCCAACTGTCGGGGATATGGTACCTTCATATGACTACTCCATAGAGATAATAATAAGAATACTAGAGCGCTAACCGCAATGTATTCGACGTTCGAAATACGCAGAACTGTGTGGGTACCATCCAAGATGGCTACCATAGATTTAGCCAATCAAATTTCGCTAAGCACCATCGTTTGCAATTGCGCCCTCAATTTACTCAGAGGGTTCAGTACAGCTAGCTACCCGTATGTTTAAAACTCGAGCGTTGCGGTGTTTGGGTGTAATGTACACGATTTTAATTTTCATTCCTTGATACTTTATTTTTGAATAAGATGCTCCACTTGGCCTCGTTTTGGCTACAATAGTTTAATAATTTGTTATTACCATTACTCATTATCATTAATGAAATAATAGTCAGTCAGTGGGCTTATTAATATGTAATAATATGTATACTAAGCCTGAAGGTGGCGCTTTACTACGACGGCCATCTTGGATGGTACACATAAATAACTCTGCATTGCTGCGCCATCTTGTCAACACTCTAGTTGTTTAATAGCTCTATGGACTACTCATACAACAGAAAAAACGTCGCATGGAGTTAGTGAAAAATGGAGATCTAAATGAAAAAACGATGTATTTCAGCAAGTATTAAAACCTTTTTGTTTTATTTTAGGCCTTCTTAAAAATACCTATGCCACAGCAGTTGGTTTTTTTTGCTGTAAAACCAAAATAGTTTCATGCATCCCGACTTGCCGATCGGTTAGCGTGAGCCCTGACTGAACAAAATGTCGGAAAACTTTTCTTTGACGCATGCGCATTTGCATAAATGTCTACACACACACGCACACACATACTACACACAATAAAAAACAAAAGAAACGTGACTAAGAGTGATTACAATAGTTCCTATGCATGTAATAGCATAGGAACTTAAAAGACTAATGAAATTATTAATTTATATATTGACCTGGAGAGCTGTAACCCACAGAAAACTAGCCAACCCACACACATGTAATACAGAGCTGTTACATTGCAAGATTATACAGTATATATTCATAAATTGTAAATTTATTACTACTTGGAAAAAGTAAACTTAAGTACTTCTCACCAAGTTCTATAGGTCTAGTCATTAAAAGCATCTGCTTATTAAACAGAAACCTAAGCTTAATGCCATTGGGGGGGGGGGAGAGAGAAGGGAACCAATTTTACAAATTTACATACAGTACAGTCGTGAAATATTGCACTTTTACCTGCGCGCAGGCTTCGTAGATACATCGTAGCCGAAAATAAACAATCTAACCTGCGCGCAGGCTTCGTAGCCTGATATAAACAATCTAAGCAAGGCTACGCGAAGCGAACCTACGAAGCAAAAGCATGTTGTTTATTTGTATGTGCAGAAAGACTGCTGCAGCAGGTATATAACCTGTAATAACTGATTAAATAAAAATGCTTAAACAAAATTGATAAATTTATAATAGTAAATCATAATGAATATTATTAAACAAAGGAAAAAATAAGTAAATGTTTAGATAAATGTTCTATGCATACAAGCTGAGTAACAAGAACAAAATAGGTTAGGCTTATTATTTATTCAAGCATAAAGATGCCAGACATTTTACAAACAGGAAAATCAAGGAAATAATTAGTAGACACTGCTGCACCCCGGAAGACACCAGAAACCTGCTGTAAACCACACTGTCATCAAATAGCTTCTTTGAATAGATAATATCAGAGGCTAAAAATAACCCCAAAAGATTGATTCATTGAATTAATTTGATAACATTAATAAGAAGATATTTCATGGCCAAAATAGGATATAAAAAATAAAAAAAATAAACTATTAAAATAATTAAAAGCTTACAGATAATGCTGCTGATTTAGAGGTTTCTATTAATGGAGGTTAGGGTCACAGGAAGTCCGGAAAACATTTATATTGACTTCGGACACAATTCATTAATTCTTATAATTTGGTTAATATAAACATGTGATTCAAATTGAGAAATGTCAACAAAAATATTACTTATTACATTGTGTCAGAATGCATTATGTGCAACATTGAAAACTTTTATTGTCCAAATTAGGAATAATTTGTCAACGATCGAAACATGACACCATCGGGATCAAGCTGAAATGAAAGCCTCTACCAACGGTCTGTTCTTAATTCAGATTTTTTTACAGCTACGTACTTGGGTGAAAATGATGTCAATTTTCAGAATTAGTGTGGTATGCGTACACCAATGGCCTCAAGTATAATTATTGAGGTGTATTTCTCCTGTACTACCAATACCCTGTCTCTTATACACATCTAGATGTGTATAAGTGGAAAGTTTACCAGTATAACTACTGTCTGCTCTCCTCTATAGGGGAAAATGTAGGCCGTACGTAAGCCTAAATTACATCGAAATTCGAACATACTGAATGCCCACTAGGGTACCCACCCAGCTAGCAAACTAAACACAGTTTTAAAACATGATCGATTTAATAATAAGGTAGGATATAACAAAACAATAAAGTTCTAACATTGTTTATTTAGTAAATTGCAACATTGCTTACGTGTTGAAAGTTGGTAAACTATATTTCAATATTGTTTACGCATTGATTATCAGCCCGACGATCCAGCCTACGATCATTGCAAAGCTAATTAAAATAACAATGACCTTCGTAGTGGTTCGTAGCTACGTTCCAAACGGTACCTACGAGCAGGCTACGAGAGGTTACGCGCAGATGCGAAGCGATATTTCCTGTCTGTACTGTACATTTTATCATTACCATTTTCAGATGATTTAGAATAGCCTACATTATGTAATTTTAAAATATAATTAATTCAATACAAACAATACAATTTTTCTAACATATATTTTGACAAACACATAATACATTCCAAAATGTTCTCACTATGTATACAATAAATTAAGATAATGAATTTATAGGAGTTTATAAAAACAGTTATTCTGAACTAGTGGCTTCTGACTTTAAGTACCATCACTTTTCTGTGGTGTGATACTAATTATAGTTACAGTACTTCATGTGTGGGAAGATAACAGCCATTTATTTTATGTTCATGTTTTAATGCTGTACATGAATGTCATAACATAAATTATGCTTATGGTTATTCGATATAACAGTTAAATGTCACGCTTAATGCTAAGTTCCTGAAACGCAAACGGAGGCACACGTCGGTGACGTTTCCAATTTCCTTGGAGTAGCAATGATTGTTTTCAGTCCAGTTGGTTCAAAATTACCATATATATTATATGTTCAGTAAAATTAACATTATTTAAAAGGGTATTAAGGAGAATTACCTGTAATATTATTTCAAATATTTTCAGTACAGTGTCACTTACTGATACTTCAAAAACTGTACAAAAATAAGAATCTCAGTACTGCATTTATTTTGGAAACCAAAGAAAAATAAATAAAACAAATTAAAAAAAAATCATGTATCATAATAATGTGTGTGTGTATATTACATATTTTTTAAAACCTAGATTTAAATTAAATAATGCAATGCTCTATTAACTATCTAGTTGCTTTTAATTAAAGGAAAAAAACCAGGTGTTTAACATGTTTTGAGAAAAACATTCAAATCCAGAGGCATCTTATCTTCCAAGCTACAGCTCAAACTAATGGTAACAGTGTGCTATAATATTTAGTACTATAGCTTTACAGTTAGCAAGTAACATTTTTTTTTTATTATCTACAAGAATCATAAACCTTCATATTTGGATAGGAATTTCATGCATGCTGCTAAGATACAGAGGCAACAGCAGTAATTACATTAATATCGTCATTATTACAGGTTACTGGATCGCTTGACAAGGACCTGTCAAAACCAATCATTCCTGTCAAGTTGAGTGCTTAAAAGACTTAGCACACACTCAACATCTCTAAATAGCATCAACCAATCAAATCAGTAAATTTGAGCACTCAAGAGACTGTGTGGCAATTGGCATCAACTGGGAAAGAACAAACGTTAAGCTGAGACTTTCTTTATACCTTGTTCCGCGAACATTTTTCAGAGGAGGGCGAAAAAAAAAATTTAATTTTGTTGGTTAATGTAAACAGTGTAGTAATGGGATCTTTCAATGCTTTAAATTTATATAATTAGGAAGAAATATACACATCTTATATTTGGAGATTTCAAGGCAACGACGGCTGTAATAAAAATAATGAAAAACTTTTATTTTTTTCTGAAATTTCCATTTTCGTGGGGGTGGGGTGTGCTAAAAATAAAATTGAATGCAGAAACTGGATGCGCGAGGGGAAGAGAAACCAATCATTTTTTTTATTAGGCCTTAGAGCAAAATTTTCATTGTATATTTTCATCAGAAAATGTTGCCGTTAAGTAAATCAGAAGACTGTCCTAAAAATACTCAACTCAAATTGGTTTTCTTTTAAAATTTTAAAACAATTTGGAACTACTGAGTATTCGGTACGATAACACGTCAAGTAGGGCAAAACATCACTCTTATGACAATGATATTATATTGAAAGGTAGTAGGAAGCATACCTTTTAAAACATTTGGGAATTTTTTTGCTTCTCCTGAAGTTGGTGAAATATCGAGCAACGCCTTAGCTGCTAGGATGGTCTCTCCTGCCGCAGGAAACGGTACTGTGTTCGGGGTTGCTAGGATACTATCGCTACCTTCACTACATGCATTGGCTGAAAAAAAAAAACAATCATTAGAATTAATAAAAAATAATTTCATTGTTTTGATAAGGAGACTCTTTGATATCCATCACTACATGTAGGTATCTAAATAAACAATATTTTTTAATTATCTATTCATTTTTTAAAATATTTCTGAATTGAACATACTACTGTTTTTGCCTACCGGTTCAATCAACATTAATTTTATTTTTACCATGTTGTTAAAACGACAATAAAGGAGTATTGTAATTGTATCGTATTGTAAAAAGCAGGACAAGGCAATTTATGCAAGCGGTCGCTGTTCTGCACCCTTAAAATATGCCAATATACCATAGTATACAAAGAAACTACAATGTTTATTTTTAGATATCGTTACATATTTTTCTATATTATGATACTTAATTTTATATTTATATTCAGTGAAAATACTTTTACACAAGTTGAACAGCTAAAATGATTGTCAGAATGGTGCTTTACATAATTATTATATTATAACTAATTTACATATCTTAACTTTTCATAATATTTGTTAGGTTTTCTTCAAATATGAAATTTAATACTGTACCTAAATATAACTAATGGCTGGGAAAAAACAGAACATCATGTTATAATTAATTCAAACAACACTGCACAATGCATTGTTTATTCACTTACGCTTAACTGCAAAATTTGTCAACCGACTCCTTAATTCCCTAAAATATCATTACAGTATGAGATTTGATAGTGTGCTTGTACCTATGAATGCATTTAAAGGTCAAATGTACACTGACAATGTCAAAGTTTATGACCTGGACAAATACCTAAATTAATAATGTATTTATTGAAAAAAAAAAGTATAATAAACTACAATCTGCACATGTAAGACTACAACAACTATAATTTCTTATATTCTTCTATAGCAGACTACCATGGCAAATCATAAACGTAAATGCTCATGAAAATGTAAGTTATTCCATTATCCATTATTCCACAATTTTTTTTTTAAGTATATATTTTTTTTACCTAATCATTGTCATCTGTATAGTTTTCCTTATTACTCAATAGATAACTTTCACACAATGTGATCATTTGTGACAGCAGAGAAATAATTTTTTGTTCAAACTTCATTGAGGAAAATTCCAAAGGAAATAATTAACTGGCAAAGCATTAGACCACCTGGTTGGAGACAACAAAGACACAAATTGGCCGATAACTTAAGTACTTTTGTTCTTCCAGCGAATCGCATCTAAGGTGAACTTCCGTTGCCATTCTCTGGGTCGTTCACAAAAATTCCAAAAATAAGTTGGATGTGCCTATTAAGGACAACTTCCATATGGAAATCCAGGAATCTAAGTACAAAGCAAGATGGAAGTAAACAGGAAACTCTTTAATATTGAGCACGGACAAAGCCACTGGACTTAAAATGTGTAGAATTTTTGGTATTAGCAGTAATTGAACTGTACTAAATATAAATAACATCTTTTTAAACATTAAGAATACTGACTTCTACTCCAGGGGGGGTCTTGGGTACAATTCTTAGTGGTAGGATTTTTCTTTGTCATTGACAAAATTACTTCACTCCCCAAAGCCTGATAATGTTACTTGTTATTTATATACTGTAATAGCGCCTTCCCTTTCAGATGTGAAGCACTAAGTGTTTCGCAGTGGTTGTGCTTAAAGCCAGGACATAAGCATATTTTACAGGCATCGCTTACACTGATCTACTGAGAATGCGAAGGATTATGTAAGCATTATACTGTATGACAGGCTACGCTTAGTGTACCTCATCATCCTCCTGTAGCTTCATGGGTCATTTGTCTTGTGTATTGCTACATATTTATATGTGTTCAGTACGTATCACAATTACCAGTCCGCCAAAATCAATAAACAAACATCAGGGATTGATGCCTCCTAAATTTCGTTGTGCATCTTTTTCAAAGACTAATGAACAAAATTAAGATGGACTACTTCATGCAAAAACCAAACACAGACTACAGTTTAAAAATTAAACTGTTGCAATTATTACTAGGCCTATAATATAAATATTATTATTATTAATATAATAAAGTAAATTAAGGTTTACAAATCTTATTAAGAATTGTCAAGGAGGTTACATGCTTTCAACAAACTGGCCCTAGTTTATCTGCATTGATCATGACAATGATGTTCATAATGCACCCTGACGAGTATCCTTTGGGCCTGGTATAATCTCCAGCTAGGTCCCTTTATCACAGGCCTGACAACTCCACCTCAACAATTGATCAACATCAAAAAAACAAGTAACATCAAGAAAACAAGTTTATACAGTACGTCTTGCCTTCCTTGAGAAAAAAATATTATTCAATACAATAAATCCCGTAAGATATTTATAATAATACCAGCTATTATTAAAATCAGATCGAAATACAACGAAATCTATCCGAAAATCAGTGAATTAGGCCAGGCCGACCCATGTCACATTTTGTTAGGTCGGGTTTTGTTCTAATGTTGATGCAGCGAACGAGACCCCTTCTTCACCTACCTACCCAGCTTGGCTGGAGCTTGCATCCAGTAATGCACTTCCTGGTTCGGATTTAAACCCCAAGATTCATATAGCAAACTGACTCAAATGCACAACTTAGACATTTTATGGGATAAATTTACAATCTAAGATTCTCAAGCATTGTTTATCTTAAACACACAGCTATAAATTGTTTATATATACGGTGTTTAGTAGTACGTTCTCAAAACCGGAAGTGATCGCACATGCTTACTACAGTACGCTACACAACAACATAGCTCGATCAGGTTAGACCACTTCCTGGTTTGCAAAACATTTGAAATTCCGCTCTAAAAAATACTCTAGCGATGATATTGATCTGAAAGACTGAGCGATAGTAGACACCCAAACCTAACTTTAAAATTCTAAACAATGTGTGCTTACCAGCAAGAAGAAGTAAATCGAGGTTCTTGCCTGAATCCGAAGCCATCTTTCTGGCTTGTTGTACGATACACTTGCTCTCGCGCTTCATCCTGACAACATACACAGCAGAATATCGTTCCGCATTGCAAAATGCCGGAACTGATTTGCATAATGTGGCTAGACTGGAATAATAAAGTTCTACCTCCGAACAAACAAAAGGGGCAAACGGTTCCACCGAAACAAAGATCACTTGTACATCACCACAAATGTTTTGAAAATATTTGTACCAATACCAATTTACAGTAACATTAAAAACCTTTTCTGGTGCTATATCTAGTAATGTCCAGTTGCCTGTTAGTAACCAAAATATAGGCCTAATTATTAATAGACTGTACTAACTTCATTTCTCTTTTTTCAGCTTTCAGCTTTTTTTTACCGTTGAATATTCATTTTCTGATTCTGTGACTCGAAAGTAGTAAACTGAGTAATTCAATGTTCAGTTTTTTTAAAGGTTTTATTTCAAATTTCATTTTGTAAGCGTCAGTTTCCTTCAATTAGTTATCCAAAACAGTTTCTATGTAATTTTTTTCAGAAATTTACTTTCAAAATAAACAAATCTTCAGTACCACAAAGTCTACAAGAAATTCCCCTGGAAAATTCAATTTTTTTAATGTTGAAATGTAGTTTCATTTTCAGTGATCAAAGAAAAGATGCTTGGTATTGGTTTTATATACTGTAGTTTGTAGTAGATATTTTTAGGAAGCTTGCATAGATGGTAACGAATATGGTTTTGTCATGGTAGCAACGGGTGCGCTAATTGGCCAAAAATAGAATTTTATTTTTATTTGATCATTATTGACTGTGGGTTTGCTAAATGCGGTATAGAAAAAATCTCGTCTCAGGTTAACAGTGCACTTATTAGGGTGAACAGTATACTTCATCAAGTAAACAGTTTAGATGAATGATATGTAATGCAAGTAGTGATATGAAATATATAGAACTTGGAATGCTGAATGGGATAAATAATAAGAGATTTCGCAACCTTATGAAAACTATAACGAATACGTTATCGTCATTTCTGTCTAAAACATTCTTGACAGTATGATAAACAAGCTAAATATTGTTCTTGATTTGTTAAAAAGGGATGAATCAACTACGTTGAGACAGATATGCAACTGTACGGGAAGGGTTGTGTAAGAAATTGATGACATAATGGAAATTTAAAACCAAACAAGTCTTGATCTTTTCATTTTAGAGAGCTAGGCTGTTGGGCAACACTTTTTTTATACCATGTTTAGTAAACCTGTCGCCTGCCAATAATGATCGATTTATTTTTATTTTTTTATTTTTTTTATTCCAAATAAAAATTTTATTTTTGACTAATTAGTGCACCCCGCCTCCATGAAAAACGGAAATTTCAGAAAAAAATTAACATTTTCATTATTTTGATTACGCCCATCACTGCCTTGAAATCTCGAAAAATAAGATATATATTCTTCCTAATTATATAAATTTAAAGCATTAACCCTCCCATTAGTACACTGTTTACATTCACTAATACAATTTTCTTTTTATTTTCTCCTCCCTCTGGATTTTTTTTCCACCCTCCTATGTCAATCTTTAAAAAATATGTCCACCAAACAAGGTATAAAAAAAGTCTCATCTTAATTAGTAATTACATCAAAATAATAAAATTGAAAAAAAAAAAAAATTGAATAAGGAAATCACTTAATTTGTATACTGAAAACAGTATCTAATGCCGATTCATTTTTTGTGAGTTCGTGGGTATATACATATGTAATGCGCATGTGCAATGCACATGTGGTTGTGATTTTATCATATTTTGTACCTACCTGGAACCAGTCCAGTTCCTTAATTTTTCATGATTTTTGCATTACTGTTAATTTCTGGTTCATCTTTGACAGTATAACTTGTTTATTATTGAATTTAGGATCTTTTTGTACCTTTATTAGTTTTCCATTTTTTTAAAATGTATTTCTGGTCGTGCCACTACTTAGTGTGTGCCACTGTGAATAGTGAGTACCTAATAAATAAGAACATAAAATTAGAATACTGTAATAGTATTTTCTTTAAAGAATTTACAGACACTATTATAATACTAGTTTTCTAT